CCGAGGGGTGACCCCGGGGGTCTGCGGCGTGACCTGCCCTCTCCCACCCGGCGTGGGCCGCGGCACCCCCGCGGTCGCACTCAGCCCCCGCGGCCGGATTGCTCGAAGGCGGCTGGGCGTCCGCGGGGGGGCCCGCAGGAGCTGAGGTGGGCCGGGCCGGGGGGACGCACACCACCCGCTCAGGCGTCCCCAAAACCCAAAGGCCCCGCCGCAAGGGCAGGAGCAGGGACCCCCCCACCGCCTCCCAGCTCCGCCGACCGGAGCCGGAGGTTTGGGGGGACCTCGGCAGGCAGCCGGCCTGCGGCGGGGGGTGGCGGCGGGTGGCTGGCAGCGCCAGGGGCAACAACAGGGCTAAGGCCGCAAGGGGTTTGTCTGTTGGTTTCTTAATTAACAAGGTTCTAGAAAACTGAGGAGGATCTGACAGCTCACCGGAGAGCCTGCCACGCTGCAGAGCCTGCTGCCACCCCGACGGCTCAGAGGGACGGTGATGGCTCGTTCATCCTGCCCTTGGAAGAATCGGCCTTTGTCATCTCAGACAGCAGCTTCACCAGCTCCGTCCTCCCCCCTGGCCGATCGCGGCTTTGCAGAGCCGGATCACCTCCCACGCGTGGTTGCAGCAGACCACCCTCCGCTGCCGTGGGAATTTCTCCTCGGCTTTCTTAACTCACCGTTCCACTGCCTACATCAGCGTTTCTGTCCTCAGTTTCAGCTGGCCAAAGAGCACGAGCAGTGTCTCCAGGAGGCACCGCAAGTTCTCAGTGGAGCCCACGTTGTCCAGTTCGATGGCCCGCTTGAAGCACTCGATGGCGAGCGTTTCCTGGCTTTTAAGCATAGGATTTGCCCCTGAAGAGCTGGAGTTTGGGTATGGTGTCGCCCAGGTCAAACTCCAGGGCTTTGCTCAGGAGTTTCATCCACCAGGACCAGTTCTTGCATGGCGTCCACCCTCATGTAGTGATGTCTCCTGGTGGCTCTTTGCTCCTGTAAGCTCTCTGAATTCCCTCCCAGCTAAGGCTGATGTTAACCGTAGCAACCCCTCCATTCCCTGTTCCTGCCTTCAGCCCTGCTGCACCCCTCTGTCTCCCTCACACCTAACTGGAACCGAGCCCAACAGGAGGGAGAGGCAGCCAAGGGCCAGTCCCCTCAGTTTTTGTGGTCTATCTTTAGGGCTGAGAGTTAATGAGAACCTGGGGATACTGCAAGGAGCTTGCTGGGATCTCAGGGGTATGGTGTGCCCACCTTCACCTGCCCCGTGTCCAGGTTTGTCCTCGGGCACGGACAAACCCGAGGACCCTTTCAGGGTGATTTTTAGCATGCATGAGCTTCCTTCTGTCAGGCACTGGGCCCTGTCCCATCTTGGTGTGTCCCAGATCTTGCAGATGTATCTTCACGTGGATCTGGACACCAGAGGAACCTCATTAGCTTGTGCCCAGTTGCAGGGTGGATTACAAAATGATATGAGTACAAACCACCAGTATGCGTCAGGTCAGCTCCTTAGCCAGGCCAGCTTGCCCAGCGCCAGCACCCCCGTCTCCAAAGCATGACCCCAGGCTGACTCATGGCTAGTAGTACCGGGAAAGGCAACGTGAGCCCTGGGATGTTGCTCATCCTGTTGACCTTGGCCGCAAATTTGGTTGCCGGTGATCATGGGGTCCTTGAAAGCAGCTAGCCCATCCGCTCCCCCTTCCAGGCTCAGTCTCAAGACTTGGGGGCAGCATGCCCTAACGTGTTCAGGGGTTGAACTGCTTGGCCATAGGAGTGTGCCTGAAGAAGGGCTGAGAAATCAAAAGCCTTATTCTTATGTCATTTCAGCTCTCTCCAGTCCCATCTGGCAGACAGACATCGCCTGGCACCCAGTGACCACCTCCATACTGCACTTTTCAGCCTCCTGCCTGGAGCTCAGAGGAAGTTAAAACATCTCTGAGGAGCAGCTGTATGCACATATTAAAGTACTTCGCTAGAGGAGGATATTTCACTTCACTGAGCCTCATTTTATGAGGAGTTAAATAATCCTGTTTAAATATAAGGAAGTAAGAATGAGTCCTTATTTTATTTAAAAATGGGATTTGAAGAAATCTTCATGATTCTTCTGTGATGGGAAATACTCACTAATGTGCACTCCTGTTTACAGGGGACTGGAAATGGGCAAAGCCAAGGGATTAAAGAGTACATTTTGATGCTCCTGAGTGATTTAGGAGCATTAAAGTCATTAAATAGTCGAGCCAGTTCTACCTGGTGACTCAGCATCCTGTGAAATGTTGCCCAGAGGGACCCAGGGAAGGCCTTTAGCAGCTCAGTGTAAGAGCCAGGATCTGGCCCAGATTTCCTGGCTGCCGGTTAGCAACTTCACTCCCAGACCAGCCTTCACCGGTTTTGTCAGGCAATTACTTCTCCCTACGTGTTTCTCACCATAATTAAACGAGCAATGCAAAAGCTGTCTGGGAGGCTGGAGGAGGAGGACAAGTCGCTGTGGGAAGGGGACCTGCCCACCCCTCGGGCACCCAGCACGCTGTGCTGGCTCTGATGGGGACTTACCTGTGCCCGGGTGTGGTAGGCCTGCCAGCTGAAGTGCGGGTCCCACAGGACCTCCAGTGCCATTTTGCATATCCCTTTGGCCATCTCCTGCTGGCCCAGGAGGTGGAAGATTTTTGCCGGGCGGTTCAGGATGGGAGGGTCGTCTTTTCACCGTTTCTATCGCCTGTTCGAGCCACAGAAGTGAAACACATTTCCGTCGGTGACTTATTGCCTGCTGTGGTGATCAAAGGGACAAAAACATCTTGGATTGATTCGCCGGGGTGGTGTTTTAACCGGGAGGGTTTAAGGCTAGACAAGAGATGTGGTCTGTGGGGAAAGCTGATATCTCTTATTAAATGAACAGACAGGACTGAATGTGGGGCTAAGCTCGGGGGTTATGTGCCTGAAAGCCTGTCTGTGTTCCTTATTTTTTCCAGCTGTGCTGGGGGAATCTAATAAAGGTATTGGTGTCCCTGCAGCCTTTCACCGAACTGCTGGCCTGCTGCTTTGCCAGGGGCTGATTTATGCCATTGGGGCCAAACACGTGGCCTGGGAGTGGTGTGCTCTGTACGTGGCAAGACCGAGGGTATCGGCTCCTGTCTGGGGCCTCCCCTCTTTGCCCCGGGGGATTTCCAGGAGGAAAAGCAATGAGGATGGGGGGGAAGGTGAACGAAGGACCTGAATCAGTCCCTTGGTGCAGCGACGCTTTCCAGAGCAGCACCTTTCCAGAGCAATCGAGGTGTTTGGTCTCGGAGAAGCCACAGTCCTGCATCCCTGTCAGGGTGGTGGAAAATATTTCTTTCCTTTCCAGCAGCATCCCCAGGTAGCATCAGGGCAGGGCTAGGGAAAAGAAGTCAGGGCAGGTGAGAGGCCAAGTCATTCGGTGGCCTAACCTCTCTCCGTCCTGCAGAGTATTTGCAGTTTGGGCTTGGGGTCTCAGCACAGAGGCGGCACATCCCAGCTGACTCTGGACGTGCTCTTACCCAGCTTGTACGGTCCGTGAGCCCACAGCGCTGGCTCACACAGCTGGCTGACCAACTTTCTTGAGTACTTTCATTCCCTCTGGTGACATTACTGTAACTGCACGACTGCAGGGCAATGTTTTTATGTCCACTGAAGTGGTAGTTGCAGGGTTTGTCTTAAACTCACCCCTTGGGAAGTTGCTGGGGGATATAAAATTACTGCACATCCCCTGTGCCCTGGCAACTACCCAAGGTGCAGGCGCTCCCAGGTAACCCTTGGGTGCTTTCAGGCAGCTCCTCCTGAGCAGACAACGCTTTTGAAAATAAACAACATTGATAAGAATATAGTCATTAAATCAATCAGAAGAACACGTATCATCATCTGAGGTTCAGGGCTACCTTGGATGTAGGTACACACAGCATCCATCAGTGCTGGATGCATTACACCGCGAGTTACAGGTGCATAGGGACCAGAGGTGAGTTTCACACAGACGGGTTCGGGGTTCCCCTCCTGCTGAAATAATCTGCTTCTCCTACCTCTGTAGTGAGTGTCGGAGGACTTGATGACTTGTCAGGGCAGCACCAGGGTCCTGTTGGAGGCAGGCAGCCTTTTCTGCTCCTTGCTGCCCTGGCTCAGCAGGATCCTGTCCAGCCTGCAATGGGAGTGGGCGGCACAACTGGGCAGCAAACCCCAGCTGGGTAGCAAAACCCCGCTTTCTGCGCCAAACAGCAGCCCAGCGCCAGGGAACTGGCTTCCCCAGGCCTGGCTTGCTCTCATCCGAAATGCCACGGGCATTAAGGGGGCTGGTGAGCCTCCCCTACGGCGATCAGACATGGGTCTCCTTGCCCAGACCCGCCAGCGCTCACAGATGCAGCAAATATGGTGCCACACAGGATACAACCACCAAGAGCATTATTTTATTGCCCAAAGTGGGATTGACAGGTTGGGTAGTTGCTTTAAGAACATATTTTTTAGCAGCTTAGAGATAGTTTGTCCCTATGAAAGCCTGGTAACCAGTTGGATCAAGCCCTGAATTATGTAGCTTTAGCCAGCCTGGGAGCCTCCGTTACAACCAGGATCCCTGCCTTGACCCTGCTGTCTGCTGGCCCTGTCTGCTCCCAGGAGGGAAGGTTCCCTGGGGAACCAGGATGCTGGATGCCACGGTGACGGCTGCCATGGCAAGGGCTGCCACCCTCTCCGCAGCCCCCAGGGACCAGAGCCGCCAGCGTGGGGCTGCAGGCTCTCTCTGGGGAGATGGGCAGCCAGGTGAGGCCACCAGCCAGGCTTGCCTGGATGTGTGTGGGGAGCTGGACTTACCAGTGTAGCTCTCCTAACCTCCCAAATTGCCTGTGCCTGCTGGGAAGCAGCTTCTTGCATGGGGACTTTTTTGCAGACGATGGTCCGGGACACGCAGCATCAGGCTGGGTGCACCCCAGGGTGGAAGTGTGGGATGTGGGCTGCTCGTGCTGGAGCTTGCTGATGCCTTCCCGATGCTCAGCAAACACAGCATGGAGGAGTGCTCTGTGCAGATCCCCATGTCCGTCTCCCCTAATCACCTCTCTTCACCCGGCTGCGGAGCCACGGTTCGTGCTCCGGTCCCGGCGTTGCTGACGGCAGTGCTCTGGCTCTGCGTTGTAGGGAAAAGCATCAGCCTTTGGCTGGGCCAGAGCAGAGAAGGGCTCCCGGCTTAGTCAGCCACCCCATTTCCAGTTCAAGGAGATAATGAAGAGGCGCAAACGCCAGGTAAGAGCTGGGTTTGTCCACCCTCCGTACACATTTGCTGGGGGCCATCGGCAGCGCAGCCCAGCCCCGTCCTTGCCCTCTCCGCTCTCCTCCCGCAGCAGGAAAGGCTGGGCCCAGGAACGTACAACATCAGGGACTTTCTGCAGGAGACGCGGCCCTCCAGTCTCCGGGGAATCTGCGACACCAGGGAGCAGCGGTTCAGAGATGCCCACAGGGTACGTCACGCCCTGACACGGGGGAGATGCTGGGGAACGGTGCCCGCCGGCTGCGGGACTTGGCTTCGGGCTGATGTCTCTGGAGAACAAGCCCTTTGGAAGGGTTAGGAGCTACCGTGGGTGCCATCTCCTCCTGCTGGGCTGGGGACTGTCCCCCTTGCTGAAGCTGCCCACGACCACCCCACTTCTCCTGCAGGACTGCTTCCCCGGCCCCGGCACGTACGGCCCCCGGGGCAACCCCTACACCTGCCTCGAGGAGAGGGACAAGCGTTCCGCCAGCACGCGTGGGCTGATGGACAGCAGGACGGAGAAGTGTGCCCCACTGGCAGTGGTGGCAAGTCCTGCCCCTTGCCCTGGGGACACGCTGGTGGGGTGGTCCTCTCCCAGCGCTGAGCGCGGCCCCTGCCGCCTTTCCCCCCCGTACCTGCAGGGCAGCAGCCCCGGACCTGGCACCTACCGCCTGCGGAGCAGCATCGACGAGGGGCTGCGGCGGCGGGCGGGCGGCCTCGGCCCCTGCCAGCCCTTCTCGGGAGACAGGTCGAAGCTCGGCCGTGGTGGTCATCATGCCTTGGAGGTGCGTTGCCCCGGGGTCCCACAACCGGACAGGGTTTCTCATCGAGCCGTGGCATTGTCAGCCCGTTGCTATAAGGATGGAGAGCTGCCTTACACCAGCATCTGTCCCACTTGGATATTGCTCTTTGACTTCCCTTGGAGGCTGGAAAAATACGCCCGCGCAGCAGCGTTTTGGGAGCGAGCGGGCTGCAGGCAGCGTGCAGGAGAGTGGGATGGTGCCCGTGAGCAGTGGCAGGGCTGAGCTCTCATGGCACGGGAGGGATGGGGGGGCACGAGAGACCACCGGCAGCTGAGCCTCTCGCGCCGCTCCCTTCTCCCGGCAGAGGAGAGGCACCGAGCTGAGCGCTGGCGCTGTCAAGGGTTTTGTGGATGAGCTGACGTTGAAGGAGAACAAGAAGAAAGGCTGCTTCAGCACCCTGCCGAGGAACCTGGGCTGCCCCACGGAGAGGATCTTCTGGGCCACGCTCAGCCAGTGCCCGAGGGAGGCGGTCAGTGGGAGCACGAACATCGGGACCAGCTGGTGTTATCGGCATCCGCGGGGGTGCAGGGGGTGCCCGGGGTGGGGACACATCAGGCCCTGGGGGGATGGATAGATGGATGGATGCGTGCGTGGGTCTCTGACAACGTGCAGCTCTTTTTCCAAGCAAACTGAAGCGTAACAGGTTTCCTTCTGTGCAGCATGCGGTGGGGCCGGGCTCCTACAACCCAAAGCCCATTGAGAGATCAGCGTACTCCAGCCAACCCCCATTCTGGTCATCTGCCAAGAGATTCAACAGAAAGTCCTACCGCCTCTTTACTGGGACTGAGGTGAGTGAACAGACATGGCAGTGAGAGAAGGGTGCAGGAATGGTCAGGCTCTGAGCCTCCTCCGTGCCCATCCCCAATCCATTACCAGCATCCCTGGGGGAGGATGAAACTCCTTTGAGCCAAAGTAAGGGTGGGCACTCCTCACCAGCTTCAGCCAGCTAAACGTTAGGTGCGTCCTCTGAACGGAGCAGCAGCCCAGCAGAAGTCCCGCAGCAGGTGGCTGGCTGTGATAGAAGGGCAGACTGACCTCAGGAGGTGCTTTTCTCTCCCTGTTGATTATCAGTGAAATCTGGGCAACTTGGCCAGATACCCATCCTTTAGAGAGGACATGAGTCCCTCTCTGGGTGCTGCCCTTCTTGCCCAGAACAGGTTGCTAAAGAATATTTGGTGAATAAAGGCCCATGGCCTGTTGTCCTGCCAGATCAAGGGAAAGGTGCCGCTGTGTACAGCAGCACGCTGAGCACCCACTGCTGAGCACGTGCTGCCCGTAGGCAGGTAAGCTTGGCTGGTGCTGAGCAGAGGGGCAGGAGCTCAGCAGTGACCACGTTATCCCTGCCTGCAGCCCCGGGCCTTTGCCCTTTTCAAGGGATGCTCAGACAACCCTTCCCATTAGTTTTGCTCTGCATCAGCTGCAAGCGAGTGGATGCACTTCATGGATGAGGGCAGCTGGGTTTGAGTCCTTTTAGGCGCCAGGAGCTTCTTGTATCCTCCCAGAAAGTCATATTCTGCTGCTTGAAAGTCAGTTTTTCCTCCAGCAGCACGTTGCAGAGCCAGTGCAGGTGGGAGCCTTTCTCTTAGTACCCGTTCCTGGAGCTGTATTCATCTTGACAGCTTCCCCACAGAGAACCAGAACAAAGCCTAAAGGGCTCAAAGCGGACAGGGAAAGCTTTAGTGCAAAACAGTCCACCTTGGCTAGGGCTGAGGAGCAGGCTTCCATGTGGCTTCTCGCCTTTATCCAGCGGAGTGGGGAACAGGCAACTTGAAAGAGGTCAAGGATGAAGATATCTTCGTAATTGCTGGGGAACTCGACAGATGACATTTCAGGGGGAAGGTTGTGACACGGCAGCCCTTCACTACAGCTAGCAGTAGGCGACTGGTGAGCGTGCTCGCGCCCGCAGACCTAATCGACTTCTTTGTGGACCACTGTGATGAGAAAGGTTAACAGGGTAACAACTGGGACCTCCCCGGTTAGCCAGGACTGCTGATAAATGATGGAAAGTGGCTTGGTGAGCACTTCTGCCAGCTCCCTCTGCACTCACAATTGCTAGCCCTTGTTCTTGTGGGGGACTTCAATTTACCAGATGTCTGCTGGAAATACAATACAGCAGAGAGGAAACAGTCTCGGAGGTTCCTGGAGCGTGTGGAAGATAAATTCCTGACATAGCTGGTCAGTGAGCCGGCTAGGGAAGGTGCCCTGCTGGACCTGTTGTTCATGAACAGAGAAAGACTTGTGGGTGATGTGATGGCTGGAGGCTGTCTTGGGCATAGCGATCACCAAATGATAGTTTTCAATTTTTGGGGAAGTAAGGAGGTGAGTCAGCAGAACTGCCACCTTGGACTTCCAAAGGGCAGATGTTGGCCTGTTTAGGAGCCTGGTTGACCAAGTCCCTTGGGAGGCAGTCCTGAAGGGCAAAGGAGTCCAGGAAGGCTCAACATTCTTCAAGAAGGACATCTTAAAGGCTCAGGAGCAGGCCGTCTGAAGGCCTGGCCACACGAAGGCACTACCTGGTTTTGCCCCACTCACATCCCCTGTGCTGCCTCTGGATGGGGAAGCACATGAGACCTTCTCCTTCCAGAACCCTGTAGGTGTTGGTCGCTACGACATCACCGAGCATGAAAAATACCCTCAGAAGATGAGATACCAGTCCCTGTACCGGTGTGACGCACAGCGGTACCTGAGCAACTTGAAGCAGGATGCCTACTTGCTGTAAGTCTGACAGACAAGGGGGCTGTAGTGGTTTCACACTGGCTTACAGCAAAATCATCTTGAGCAGCTCCGGGGAGACTGAGTACACATTAACGGCCACTACAACTGATGCGAGGTGGGATGATCATGTAGTTAAAGCACTGGATCGGGACTGAGAAACGCTCACCAGCCCCACCGCAGGTTCCCTCTGTGGACAGGGAGGTTGGTATTGCTGCACCTCTCCCCTCCCGGGAAAGCGAGGAGACTTTTGTGCTTCCCCATGGTGTAGGGGTAGTGGGAGGGTTAAAGAACTACTGGCTCTTGAGGCGCTTCATGGTGCCACCACCGAGGTGGGTGGTGGTGTATCTTGTGAAATGCGATTTGGCTGCAGCGAAGGTGTAGGCAAGTAGTTTCCACCGAGCTCGAGGAGGCAGCCTGGGAAACAACTGGGAGGTGGATGGATAATCAGGCTGTCTGGACTCATTCCCAGTGCCGGCACAGGGCTCAACGGCCCTGAACAAAAATCACCTTCTCAGGCTGTGCCTTGGTTTACCCATCTGAGGAAGGAAGATAACAAGGCTCACTTTTACCACAAAGGGCTTTGAAATTGCTAGCATGAAAACCCTCTGAAGCAGTTAGGAACTATACTAATGAGAGACCTCAGGATAGCCCTCCGCTCTCACCTTTGCTTGTGGCCAAGATTAGCAAACTGCTGCGGCGGCACTATGGGCTGACAGCTCTGCAAAGGTCTTTCTTGATCTCCAGAGAGTAGTTAGAAATCTGTCTTGGCTGAATATAACTCGGCAGCTTTCAGCGGGGCGGCCAGAAGTTAGCTATCCTATGATGGAGAAAGCGTAATGAAATCTGGCTTTCAATATTTCCCAGCTTTGTTAATCTCGCAGTTCCAGTAGGAATAAAAAAAAATCTGAACAGTGAGCAGGACTTGGAATTCAAACGCATCTCTCTGATCAAATAGCACTAGCTCCAAAATCACTTTTCAAGTTAAAGCTGTGCTTTTAAGGGAATAGCCAGCTTTTAAGAGCTCTGTTCACCTCCATGCTTGTTAAGACTAATGAGATTAATCCAACCGATAATTTGAGCCCACAGAATTGCATCCTCTTTCCACAGTGAGCGGCTCAAGCCTGTTGCTAAAAAAACCCGGAGTGATATGATTTCTGCTTCACGCTGTCCAGATACCTCTGAAGAAGTGTTTTCCAAACGTAAGATGGTGCCGGAAAGCCCAGATCAGTGAGTAAATGGCAGACATGCCAGCGGATGAGATGGGGTAGATGAAAACACTTAGAGCATGCTGGTGTGCAAGTTAAGAGATAGGAGACAACTTGTCTCGTTCTGCGGTAATAAAACACTCTTCCTTAGACAATTAACTTTTCTGTTGAGTAATTCAGTATTTCCACCTTGGCCTTTATAGAAGTGACACACTTGAGAAGTGGATGCCAGATACGGCGTGTCCTCCGAAGGAAGGTCTGCTGGCACGCACAGCTCATTCAATATTAAACGCTTCCTTTCAAGCAACGCTACCTAAAGAAGTTGCACGTACCTGTTATGAGCATGGTGGTGTTACCACAGCTGAATACCCCCAGGTCGACCAGTACAACTCAGTGGAGAGCTGGGTCTGAGAAAGCACTACTACAGCAAAGCAGAGTAGTTAGGCCTTCAGTAATTGCCTACGTACCTGTCCTGTGGCATCTTTAAAGCAGCTGCACACAAGGATCTTCATCGCAAGCTGTAGCGTACGGCTTCGCTTGAATTAACAATGCAAATGTTTATAAGCAGCTGGAGGGAATTAGGATGAATTTAGCATCATCATTTCAAATTTTGTAGGATATTAAAACCTAGAGGCAATAGACAAAGTGAAACGGAGAGCTGTGTCAGTGGTAACAAAGGATGGCTGTAAAAATGTACTGGGAGTAGGGTGTTTCACTTAGGAGTTAACCTTTACGAAGTCTCACACTATGGTTTAGACCAGACTGGAATAATTAAATCTAGGTGTAATTACATGTTAGTTGAGGCTGATTAAGTATGCTAATTAATCTGCAATTATCCTTTGGTGGGGGAGATAATTGAACACAGGTAAAACTGCAGTGATTTAAGGACATAACGATTATTGTTCTAGAGAGGCAATCAAAGTAGGAAGGAGGTCTCTGAAGGGAAAAATGCCCGAGCAGTGATGTGGGTGAGTGCAGGGTGCAGAAACGCTGCTGGGATAACAAGAGAGGATCGTGAAATGCAGCATAAGTCAGGGCCACCACAGAATGTGATTAAAGGAACGCAGGGCTTTGGCACCTGAACTGCGGTCTCAGTGGGGCTGAGGCATTTGGCAGCCTGGATTTCAGGAGAAAGCCTGGGAGCTTCTCTCTGGGAAGAGAGCATTGGGAGAGGATGCACCAGCTGTGACCAAGGGAGGGGCAGGAATACCTCTGACTAAGCCTACAGAGCTGCTGTGAAGGCATTTTTTCAAGGAAACCAAAGATGTGGATGTGAAACTCCTCAGGCTGAAGAGAGCACTGAATCGTCATCCTTGCTTCTGCAGCTGATCGTTTGAACCAGGGATTAGTTCCATTAGTGTGAAGTGAGAAGAATGAAGTAGCTATCCATGTCAACAGCTGTAGCACCTAAATCCAAAATGGGGTTTTGTCCTCCTTGGACAAAATGTCACGGGAAAAGAATGAGGTGGGGCAGGGGGGTGGAAATCAGGATAATTGGCATCTTGAGGCAATGTGGAGTTAGTGGGGCATAAGGTAAGGGTTAAGGCTCAGCTATAAGGTGTTTGTTTTGTACAGGTGTGTCTTGGGCCAGAGATAAGAGTAGACTCGCAGTCTTCAAAGACATTCCTTCAAAGCTGCTTGCAGCACTAGGGTCCTCATCTCCGAGCAGCCTCACAATGCCTCTGGTCTCTTACCCAGGCAGCAGCTTTTCTCGGTAATCGCCGACCATTTGTAGCAATACAATAAGCATGAGAAATGATAAGCAGAACTGTTGAAAAGTAAATAATTATTCATTAAAAGACACCACTTTGAACAGTATGCTGGCTAGATCTTTATTTTAAACAGCCCGTACAACCAAAAATTAAGAGCAACAGCAATTATCCATGTGCATGTGTGTGACTGATACAGTTACAGTACCCAATCACGACATACAAAGTTTGCCAATAAATTAAGAAATGAAAAAACAAATACAGTGCATACCTAAAGATCATCAGTATAGAAGTGAGAGAAACACAGCCTAAGTAAAAGTATTTGCACATCCTCTAGCCGTTTTAACATCGCCCCTTAAAAGCTAACCCAACCCATTCTTGCTCTGTGCAGATTATCTTACGAGCACTGGGCTAAATCATAGCTTTGCGCCAGGGACAAGGAAACGGCTCTCGTGCCGCTTCCCTCACAGGGGCAGGAGGGCAGGTTACACCCCGAGAACCAGCGTTTGCCTTCCTGCGTATCCCGAAGCCTGGACCGGCGTAGCAGACGCTCCTGGATCACTGACACAGCTCCACCTCCTGTCCGGCGCCGTGGCTTGGGCAGCACTGCAGGCCCTCTGCATTGGCTGCGTCTCCCCTTGGCAGGCTGCCCCTGCTACCTGTCCCCTGCGGGGGATTTTAAGGGGTACCTTATTTGCACACAGCTTGCCCAGCATGCATCACTGAGTAACAGGCCAAGCTTATTCTTGTTACTGCTTTATCATTGGTTTCATCTGGACCATAAACATCCATCTATCAATAAATAAAATCATTGGTTTAGCACTCATATAAAAATGACAACGCCTCCCACTGGTAACTGTTTAAAAAGTTCTTCATGTTACCCCCTATGCAAGCCTGAAGAAAATTACTTTCTTTTCCCTCGAGCTCAGTAACGTTTCAAGTAACAATTTAGAGTACTGCTTGGACAAGACACGGGCTTGGTTCGGAACCGTGTTTCTGGCTACGGGGTCAAAACATTTCCACACTTCTACGCTACACTGTACGAAGTGCGTGACTGTGCCGTTTTCACCAGTGAGCAGCAGAAGGGGAACTGAACAGTACTTGCTGTTGATTTCCTCTCCAGGTGACTGAAACAGTCCTTTTACAAAGCCTATCAACCTAATCCAGCTAAAACGAAAAGCAAAAATGTCACTCGAGTCAGAACCAAAGTCTGCGTGTATCAAGATTCACAACAAGAGTTCTTCTAATCCAGAGCCACTTGCTCTATCAAACCTCGTGTAAATAAAGCCTTGACTTCCGTTTCCTACTGGCCAGAACAGAACGGTCTGAAAATAACCCATGTCTTCCTCCAACTGCGTATTTATAAGGCACTAAAATTAAGCAACAACCAAAACCCCCGCCAAAAAAACAAAACAAAACAAAACCAAAAAAATCCAAATAAACTGACCCACAACAAGTAAAAACTGAAATTAAAACTTGGCTATGTGAAATAGCAGCAATTTTTTCAGTAGTCTATGAAGCCAGAACATTGATATTTTGGGGCAAAAAACCAATGCACTGTTAGCCAATTACAAAATACCTAAAACCTACATCCACTTACACTTTATAATCAAAATCAGTACAAATCTGATAGGCACAAGTAAAAAGCATTTTCTTCACACCTCAATGCTCAATTTTGAAACTGAGGCCACTGTTAGGGAGTTTAACTGCTCTGCTGAGATTATAGTACGGTACAACCCAAGCAGTATAGTACCACACAACATCATGCAGTGCTGTACAGCCGGAAGATTACGGTACCATCGCTAAGCTGTCCTACAGGTTACCGACTGGAGGCAAATGTTTTTAACATCATGATTAATTTGACAATGCGTTCAGCTTTGGCACCTATTTCTGAGCCCTCCCTACCATTTTCAAAATGTTAAATATAGCTATAGTATACAGCTGGTGTAACTCCAGTGTCTTCATCCTTTCCAATTATTTTTCTTATGCTTGGAAATAGGTGAATTCACCTATGTCACTACATTAGATACAAAGGCTAGCACTTAAGATTTCTTAAAAACAATCACTTTGAGTTTGGAAAATTGATTTTAAAACATACGAAGAAATACTAAACATAAATTCATAAAGCAGGAATTCATACCTTTAAACATCAACAAGAATGAGCTTATTTGGAGAGCAATAAAGCTTTTTTTTTTTAAAGGATATACTGACTAACTATAGGTAAATTCATTTTTCCCTGATTGCTTGATTAGATCATCCAGGCTCAGTGCCTTGCAGCTTTGCAGATTTTGTCATACACTTCTGGAAAGGCATCCTTGCAATTCATTTGCTCCCTCAGCTTGTGGTATAACGAACCATCAAACATATCCCAGAACTCCTCACGGGTCATATAGCAATCCGCATACAGCATCTGGAAACTGGAGAGGGGAAAAATAAAAAAAACAGAGAGACAGAGATTCAATATTAATTGTGCCACAAGATTTGAAATAGATTATTAAAAAAAAACTTCAGGGCAAGCTATGAATAGCAAATATGAAACAAAAAAACCCCATCAAAAATGCTTTTTAAAAACAAGCAAATATAATTGCTCACATGGATTACACTGGGACACTCAGCCAATTCTATTTTGTGGATTTAACATTACCATGATCTCTTTTCCAAGAGGAAATAACATGTAATGGTGAAAACAGCAGACTACCGCCACAGTCGTTTTGGTGAAGGGGAAGATGGGAAAAGAAAGCAATTGAAATAACTGTTGCTTTTAAAATACGGTTCAGAACACTTCTTTAGCCATCAATGTATTCATACTTTCATTAGTTTTGCTACTGCAAAGAGAAAAGGAGAAGGACTAAAAGTATAAAACAGTGGTTCATGTTTAGGCATCCTAACCATCTGCAGTCAGATCTTCTGGCAACTTGTATTCTAGCAACCTGTGTTCACAGGAACACAAGTCTAGAGAGAACTTCAAAAGTTCCCCCAAATCAAGAGTCTGGCTCCTTGCACCGAAAACCACACATAACATAAATTCTCCCTGACAAATATTTTTCTAACTGCTTTTGAAAGCCTCCTTTCCTTTTTCTCCCATTCGAAACCTTTTAATTCCAGCTTCAAAAAAAAGGAAGTATTTTTTCTGCATGCTTGCTTATGATCCATGGAGGTACAGTCATGGCGTCTTGTATTAGCCTGTGTTACCAAATGCATTCAAGGCAGATGTAGCAATACATTCTTTGGCTTTTTAAGATTGCTTTGAACTGGACATTGAGAATACAACTAGGAAGGCAAAAGCCTGCCAAATCAGACCAGGCCAAGAAGATAAATTTATAGTGTAAATGAAGCACAGTGCAACAAAAGACCATTTGCAAAAATAAATGAAATCTTTATGTAGCTGTGGACTCTTCCTTACTTTCATACTGTGCACTCTACAATGCAGCTAGCATCAGAGTACAGCAGTAAAACACAAACTATTACATAAAAGCTCTATTGTTGTGTGTGATTACGAAACTGTAAGATTAAGCATTTATCCATTGTTCGTTTCCCAATGACAGGTAGAGAATAGACAAAACTTTGTTAGCAAAGAGCTTTAAATTAAAAGCTTAATTTCAAGTTAATTAAAAAAAGCTTAAAATTAACTTTCAGTTGCTTTGTTCTCTGGCAGATCACTTATTGCAGCTAAAAGTCATTTACACTCTCCAAATCATCTTGAAGCAGACTCACCACTGTTACTCAGCCACACGGGATATAATCACTGTCAGACTGAGAAGTAGGTCAAAATAGAAATGTGGATAAATTGTACTGATGGTGTAAAAATACTGTGTAGTTGTTGTTTTGTTCCTGAGAAACAAGCCTGTAACTGCTTCTCCACTGACACTACTACAGCAAATTAGGCTGGCATGAGTCTGTGACAGATGGCGGGCACATATCTCACGCCTACTGCGGTCCTATGTAATAACAGTCGGGGCAGGGAAAAGGAAGCTATGGAAGTACAAGTTATGAGGGAGGAAAGACTCCCACCACCGCACAGGGACTGCAGGGAAGAGTCAAGGCTGGCCTCCCTGTGCAAGGACACACCAGCGCAAGGACGGGGCAGAGCTGCAGCATGACGCTGCAAGGACTGCAGGGAGCAGAACGGTCCCAAGGGCAGGCAGGGAAGCTGTCCAAACTTCAACAGCCTGTGGGATTCCTGGAGGGACTGCGGCCAAAAGCTCTGAAACGACCTGAAACAAGTCAGCTCCAGTATGCAAGCTCAGTGGCTGCCTTCCCGAGGGCTGGGCTAGCCAGCCTTGCTAAGAGCGGTCACCGACCCACGCTAACGCCACTTCTGGACAGCAACTTGTTTATGTACAGTCAGCACAGACCTGCTGAGGTCTTTCTGCACCTGGTTGCATGGATGTATTTTGTTGCAGCAGAGACTCTACTCCTGCAGCAGCCTGGAGCTGAAAGAATGCACAGGCGACCTGAAGCTACCCAGCTCCCAAATACGTTGCAAGAACTTCAGCCAGTGTGCTCATTTGTTTGGTTTTGCAATCAAATGATGGAAGTAAAATCATATTTAAAAATCATAATATCAGAATTAGTAATTAAAATCAGTTTCCAATTATTGTGGTTGTTAAATGATTGCAATATTGAAGTGCCGTAGGATTAAATAACTGTGATTAAACGACATGGCAATATAAATTACATGGCATTATTACTATTCTAAGGAGTGGGATCCTTACCCATGCACACTTCTTACAAACTTCTCCATTTGCCTCATTGAAGCCCTGGCCTCAAATTGTTTCCTTTTGGGCTCTCCATAAGCTCCTATATCCACGTAGAGCTCTGTTTCATCCCCTTTTGGGTGGACCATACCAGGATTATTGGGCAATATGAAAGGACATAACCAAAGAGGGTACACCTGCAGAGGTAAGAAAACACTTTATCACTTACTTTTAACAAAACAATCCTTTAAGCTATCTCCTAGTAAAGGTAACAAAATGAAGAGTTAAGAGGACTTCTTCCCAATTTGGGATCGAAACTTCAACGGCTATTCCTTTCCAGTTCTCTTGCTGTGGTTCTTAGCTCCACTTTCTAATGACAATAACACAAATAGATCCAGATGCTCAGAATATGTGCAATGTCCTCCTAGAATTACACCTCCTCCGCCTTAAATATTTGAAATTAAAATAAAAAAAAAAATCCCTGATCCCAAAGCAACAACTGAATACACTTTCTGAGTAAAAAGAGAATGAAGAGTTTTCTTTTCCAGGTCAGTCCAAAATTGAAATCTCCAAGTTTGTACTTTTTATAGTAACCAAAATAAATTCAGAAATAAAAGCCAGAAAGGGAGATTAATTCCCACAGTTGGGGTTTAGTGAGACCACCAGAGATTTCAGGTGAAAGAAAAATCAGTTCAAGTTTTATTAAGTGATGAAATCTTTTAGAAATATTTGCCTTCTACTAACATTTGAATCTCATGTTTTTATTCTTTTTTGAGAAAGCTGTGTTGATTTCTTCTGCCGCCTTGCATCATAGACTCACAAAGCACAGTACTACCCAGGATACGATAATGACCTTTTACACAAGCAGACTATTACGCCTTGAGACCAACAGTCACAGCTCTTACTACACACAGTCCAAGATTCACTACATTTTAAAAACACGTGATCTTACATTAAGGTCAGCATGGAAGGTTTGGATAGATTTCTCAAGGCTCTTCATTGGCACCAACATGTCCTGTACAACGTGGTGTTGCTCGTACAGCTTTCGAATAGCTTCTCCTTGGGTGAGTTTTAACAAAGAGATTTTTGGAGGAACCATCCAGCCAAACAGGTAACGGAAAATGGGGTTATTGCCAAAAGGAATGATATCCTTTAAAGAGGAAAGAAAAAAGTTTGACTTAAGAATGTGTAAGTGAACCAAAGGACAATACTTCAGAATCCTCAGAGCAATATTAAGCCAGATTTACAATAAATTTAACTGCTGTTACTTTTGCTAAACTACTACAATACAAATACGAACAAGAGAGGCCTGTACTGAACTTAGCTACACAGCCTTGCCCTAAGCCTCCTCTAGTTACAATGATTGATTTTCAGTCATATGAATCACAACACACTCAGCTCACAAATATGTTCAGAGAATGAAGTTCAGAGAACAGTAGGCTATTATCTTAAAACAGCTAAGGAAGGAGCACGTAAGAAGCCAAACTTACACAACTCTTGCAAGAATAAACACATACAAGATCAGGTCTTAAAAAAATTGTAAAGCTGTAAATTTTTAAGTACTTCCTGCACAGCCTACTCCTGTTTAACGTCTCCAGGAGCTGAAAGGATCCAGTATCTCACGCCAGAGATTCCAAATGTCACAATGGGAATATTTCAGAATGCCAAATAAAGTTTTGCGTAAACGTACATCACAACGTATACTTTATGAAATTCAAATTAATGACCTTACTGTATAATTAGTGTTCTGATTTTAGGCAGGGCAAATTTTTAGCCATAATTTCACATTCATGGTTTTTCCACTGTCTGCCTTTGGAAATCACTAAGTAACTATAAAAGCTTAACACTGAAATACGTACTTAAGGTCTAAATTCAGAAAAGCACTAAAATGGAAATTAGGAGGTTATAATATAACACCTTATATATAACAAAGTGCCTTTAGATTTATTTTGCCCAAACGCAGGACTTTTAAATTTGCCATAAACTTCACTGGTTTTCTCTGCCATGAAAGACAGAAGTGTGGCCAAGGGGAACAAGGTACATTGTACCTACACCGTGAAAGACCAGAGTACCTTCCTGCAGATGTTATTTTAGTTTTGGAACTGGTCTTACTTGGAGCTCCCAGAAGATACTGCGTGTATGTCTATGGTAATAATGTCTTGAGGGAATGTATTCTACTCCAGTCCTGTCAGCTTTCAAATACTTCTCCACATGCTTGAAGAACCACGGCTTGTAGTAGTTGCCAATTCTGTTTATCTACAAGAAAACACGCATTCATTAGCAAACACCAACACAGGTAACAGTTACACCTTACTGGACAACATTAATTATGTCCCCAAATTCCATTACAGTGAAGAATCAATGTTATACCCCCTGTGACAGTTTGAATGAGACTGTCACAAGAGATTTAGGGAGCCTTCACTTCTCCACATGCATGGCTCCTTCTTACCTTTCTTGCTATTAAGGTTTAATTTAAATCAGGCTTGCTAAGGCTTGCCTGTTACAAGCTGATTAAGAGACCATGAATGTGACAGAAATGGATACCTAAAATACTGATCTCTCAACCCATCATTAATCCAAAGTCTCATTATGGCAGAGGAGAAACATTTGGGTTGAGGGTTGCAGTGAACAGTTAGCATGTCCCTCCTGTAAATGTCCCTGATGTGTTTTACCAACATTAACTGTATTAAAAGCTTGCTGTGAAAAGCTTCCTCCTTAGGTACTGCAATGAAAAGGCTGTAGACAAAATTATTTGTTAGAATAATGAAATCAGTGGGTCATTTCTTATCAGTTGAAGAGACTTCAAGTACAGGCTCTGTTGTAGTAGCAAAGAGCTGTAATTTAAAATATTCTGATGGACAGATCTAACTTTTAATCCCATGTTAAGAGATTGTTCCAATCTTATAATGATTCTGGCTTTACACTGGCATATTGTACAGCTTCAGTTAAACTTTGGGGGCATTTTTTTTTCTTTGTGAGTAATTTCCCTTTAGTTACCTTGCTTTGCTCAGCTTCATCAGTCAAGACTCCTGTCATGATGACTGCTTCTTCCAAAGAATACACAAGTCCTTCCACAAAACTATTCTCCTTTTTCTTAGATTCTTCAGCGAACTTTTCACAAATCTTCTGCAGTCCTCTCACAGGCTCATAATGTATTTTGACATATTTCTTGGCAGGAATCATTTTTATTTCTGCTGCAACCAGGAAACCCAGAGTACCACAAGACCAAGGCACTGCATAAAATAGGTCTGAATTTTCAGTCTGCAAAAAGTATGTCATACTAAATCATATATCCATACCGATAACTGTCAACCACATTGTAAATGATAGCAAAATAACATTTTGTCTTACTGGTGAACATCTCACAAGGCTTCCATCAGCAAGAACAAGTTCATAGGCCACACAGGTGTGTTGAAAAAGTCCATAGATATGGGATGAAGACTCAATGCCAGTTCCCATGATCAGGCCACCTTAACAAGAGAGCACATAACAAATCAAATGAAACACACTCCAAAATGCAGGTGGTTTACGAGAAGAAAACCTCACTTTTAAGCTCTGGGCATGACTTAAAAAAAAAAAAAAAAAAAAAAAGGAAGTGCTTATAACATAAGTACCACAACAGAACATAAGGTTCAACAGAGTATTTCCAGAACCTTTAAAATAATGCAACATGTTACTGCATAAAAAGCTAATGAAAATGCAGTAAAATCAGTGAGTCTCTTGTCACCACAATGACCCTTACCTACTGTAAGATCATCAAGCTCTGGTACCACAGGAATAGTCCAGCCCATGGGATTCAGGTGTGCAGTCAACTGGCCCATGGTCACCAAAGGTTCCACACGAACAACCTAAAAAGCAAAAAAACCCAATTCCCCCCCAAAAGGGTAAATTAAGTGTTCAGCATTAACGATGACAAAATATGGCTAACTGGATTGTACTTCCATCTGTTATCAGAATTCAGAGACTTACTTTCCTAAGAGCACTACTAAAAATAGTTGAAACTGTTTAGTGATTCCTCCTCTGCCTCAACATCTTGTTGCTCAGTCCCCAAAACCATAAATCAATCTGGTCTTTCAGACTTCGGCACATAAAAGCTAAGCAATTCCATATGCTGTTTTTTTGGATAGAATGATCCAAGCACACATTGTAAAACCTGAAATTTGGTGGGTCTACTGCTACAAAAATCCTTTGTTCTTTATGGAATCTAATCTCGTCTTCAGCTACAAATACGGTAAAAAAGCTTTGTGATGAATTTGTTACCTGTCTTTCCTTGTCCACTTCCAGAACATCCATTAGGTTTATCATGATGTTCTTATGAGTCTTCTTATACTTCCCAACACGAAGTGATACAGTCAACCAGCCAGGCCGGCCAGTGCACATGTATCTTTTGCTGCCTTCATTTTTCCATTCCCGAACCTGCAAGACGTAACAACAGAACTGACGCTGTAAGGCATACACACCTTACATTGTCAATAATGTATACCAGAAACATTTTTCCCTCACTGTGAAAAAGCGTTCAGAAATGTCACTCATCTACACGCAAGTTACCTGCAAGTAATGAAGTCTGGATGTCTGTATGTTGAGTAGCAACGCTTTGGAAGTCTCTCTGCAGACCTCTGAACTTCTAAATAAAATACGACTAGAGGGGTCTATGTAGAGGAAGCATTTCTAATACCCCGTAGCTTTGGGGGTTTTTTGGAGATGGGATTCAGAAAACTAGAATGGAAGTTTTAAAAATCCACAGGAAAACCTATACTCAAAGGGAGGTATTATCACTGTCATAAATAATGTCAGTTCTGTGAAGTTTAATGAAACAATGCCTCCTCCTAAACACACCAAAAAATGGTCTGAGCCCGAAAATGAACAGGCAAAGAGAGAAAAGTTGGGAAGGAAAATTTGTAAGCCATACACATGATCCATGAATTTTGCAAAGCCACAGTGGTTAACATTTGGGGAAAAAACATCAGTTGTAGCATTTTCTTCAAAGCTCGACTGCTACTACAGCTGGTGATAAAAAACCCAACCTCAAACCCTCAAAGAATAACTCCGTGCACATTAATACCCATCTGTAGCTGCAATGAACGTGACAAGCAAGGAAGAGAACAGAAGCAGACATGACAGAATTATCATAAATATTAGACAGCACAGAAACATTAAAGAAATCTGCATTTCAGGGTGGAAGAAAAGTTTCAGCTCCCCTTCAATCATCTCTTGGAACCAACAATGCCGAGAAGCTGGGTGTAAGTGGTATTGAAGCACGGTATTAAGCCAACCCTTCAAAGACTAACATTTTCACGTTACACCCGCGCACACACGTACGTGCCGAGCCGTGTGAGCGTACAGAGATTCACAGCACGTCTCTAAGGATGTTACAATGACAGCAGCCGGACGGCCGCATCTGGACTTGCCAGCTGTTGACGCCGCAACTTCGCTAGAAGTTTCAGACGGGGGAAAAAAAAACCCCAAACCCAACAGGAGCAGAAACACCCGCTGGCTTTTGGTCGTTTCCTTTTTCCCGCTCCGGCTGCCGTAACCGGATTCGAGGCTGGATTTTGCCCCGGCTGCTCCGGGACGGGCGGCGGGTGACGGGGGACGGGGGGGGGGCCTGGCCGCCAGGCCCCGTCCATCGCCGGTGCACACCGCAGCGGGGAGGCAGGCTGGCAAGCAGCGGGACGGCGGACGAGCTCTCCCCCCGGCCCGGGGCGGGGGGGGCGGGGGGTCCGGCCGGGTCTCACCTGCGCCTGGATGTGGCGGACGCGCTGGGCGTGCTGCCGCGGGGCGCTGTGGAGGCGCCAGACGGCCCAGGCGCGCAGCTGGTAGTAGACGTCGAAGAGGATGGAGAGCGGCAGGAGGAAGAGGCAGACGAAGACCCAGCGGTGGTGCACCAGCACGGCCTCCAGCCCCCGGTGCCTCACCCACAGCAGCAGCAGCAGCAGCCCCGCGCCCAGCGACCACACCGGCGACATGGCGACGGCCGCCCGCACGCGCTCCCTCACGGCCGCCGGGAC